GGAAGGCTGAGGCAGAAGGATCGCCGGAGCCCAGCAGGTCGAGGCTGCAGTGACCAGGAGCAGACGACAGTCTGGGCGACAGAGTGAGACACCAACTCAAAAAAAAAACCCAGCCCAGAACTCCTCAGGGAGATGGATTTGAGGGTATTCTCCCATTTCTTCACTTGGCGTCCTGCTATCATGCAACTCTTTCTCTGCTGCAAACCCTGCTGTCTTAGTATATTGGTCTGTTGCTGTGCTGTAGGTATGAACCTGTGGGTCTTTTTTATTTTATTGTATTGTATTGTATTGTATTGTATTGTATTGTATTGTATTGTATTTTTTGAGTCAGAGCCTACTCTGTCATCCAGGCTGGAGTGCAATGCAATGCTCATGGCCACTGTAGCCTCAGACTTCTGGGCTCAGGTAATCCTTACACCTCAGCCTTCCAAGTAGCTGGAACCACAGGTGCACACCACCATACCCAGCTAATTTTTTGATTTGTTGTAGAGACGAGGTCTCACCAGGTTGCCCAGGCTGATCTCGAATCCCTGGGCTCAGGCAATCCTCTCACCTCAGTCTCTCAAAGTGCTGGGATTATAGGTATGAGTCACCACGCCTAGTCCCTGTGGGTCCTTTAAAATCTGGAGTCTGAGTTGGGAATCTGGCCTTCACCTCTGGATCTTTCAGCACCAGCCCTAGGCATCCCTACTTCATTCTTCAGTCCCTGGAGCCTCCTCTGTGAAGTGGAGGTCCTGCAGAATGGTCCTGGTGGTATATGGGGAGGCCCTGGGCCTGTGACCAGTGCCTGGAACGTCCCATCCCCTTGGGCACCAGGCTCATGAGGGTGGGATCCACCCAGACAAGCTCTAGGGGGCCCTCTAAGGCTCTGTCCACCTCCCCTGTCCTCACCAGCCGTGACCACAGGACGCTTTTCCTTGGCCGTGTTCTTGGGTTGCTCTTCCAGACTATAGAACACAGCAGCCCCCATACCACCCCAGCAGCTCTGACTCCTGATCCTCCCCAGCAGCCACGGGGTTCTCTGCACCCCCACTCACTCCCATTTTGTCAACTCCTGAGTCTAACTTTCACTTTGGGAAATGTAGGAGGCTACCCTGGGGACAGGGAGACATTGAGTTTCAGAGGTGAAGAGTCTCCAGGGACAGATGAGTCTCTCCCCAATGGGACCCTCTCCTTTCTGATGACTATCATGAGAGGGCTGGGCTGTGATCGCCTTTCTCTGTCCCTCTGTGTTCCCCTGTCCTCATGGCCCAGCAAAGACCAGAAAGCTGCAGCTTAGACCCAGAGCCCTCTCTGTACCCTCCATTGGTCTCCCTTCAGGGTGGCCTGGCCCCGTGTTGCCTTCCCAGTCTGGAGACATCCAGCCCTTATCCCTGACCCCAGGGTCCTGGAGATTGTCTCTAACATCATAGACATGCCCTTCAAAGAGCCAGCCTCTACCCCCCACTCAAGCATCTGCCCTGGAAGAGGGGAAGGAACCTCTGTCCCTTGCAAAACCCAACCCAGCTCTGAATCAGGCCACATCTGGCTGTTCCTGACCTTCCTGCCAGTGACATCAAGACCAGCCAGCCTTTCCCAGACCCCGTGGAGAAAGGTAAGGGGTCAGAGCTTCAGGCTGGGAGGGTAGAGGGAAAGTCGCAGAGAGAAAAATGAACTTTCTAGGGAGAGCAGAGGGTGGGCAGTTAGGGGAAGATTGTGAGAGCAACTTACCTAGGACGGTGAGTTGAGTCCCGGCACCGAATACATGCCACTGTGAGTGAGGCTCAGACCAAATCCCGTGAAGCCAGCACCTAGGGCCTGCCCCCTGGGGGCTGGGCTGGAGTGGGTACCTGCTGGGTGTGATGGGCAAAGGGATGTAGAGGGTGAGGCTGCAACCTAGGCACAGGGCAAGAGGCCAGCCCCCCAGAGGAGTCTGTCTTCTGCCTAAGGCATGTGCCACTCATGGACTTGAGGTCTTCTTGGGTGGCTGTTTTGTGTGGCAGAGAGTCCTTAGCTGGCTTAGACCAACCAGACCTCTTCTGGACATATTTTAGGGAACCCTGAGTCTTTCTCCCCCACAAGTGTTCACAGTCCATCCAGGTTGACTTCCTACTTGGGCCAAGGACACTGGGCCATTCCTGACTCAAGTGGAAAATCTTCTGCTGTCATTTCTATCCATGGAGATGCCACTCAGTTCCACTTTGTTCATGAAGTCTTCTCTGATCTCTCAGTTTGCTCTTTCCAACTGTTCATCTATCCATTTGTTTAGCCATCTGTCCATCTATTCATCTATTTGTCCATCCATCTATCCATCCATCCATCCATCCATCCATCCACCCATTCACCCATTCACCCATCCATCATCCATCCATCCATCCATTCATCCTTCCATCATCCATCTGTGCATCCACTTACCCATCCGTTTGACCACCTATTCATCTGTCTGCTCATATGCTGTCATCATTCTATCTATCTGTTTACTCATCTCTCTGTTCCTCTGTCATCTGTGCAGTCGTTCATCCACTCTATCCGTCTGTCCATCCATCCATCCTATCTGTACCAGGAACTGTTTCACATGCTGAGAATATGGCAAGGTTCCCTCAGCTCTCACTTCTTTCTCTGAAATCTCTCAAGTTAAGGCCAACAAGGCCTTCCTCATGATCAAGTCCAAGGTCCCTCCCCAGTTACTATTGTTCCTGATGTTTCTTCAGGATGCAACATGAGGTTGGCGCCTTAATCCAGTGATGCTCTTCCCCCATGGTGTCTGAAACCACACATTCCTCCTCCCCTGACATCCCTTTCTCCCCAACCCATGCATGTTTCTGACTCCCAGACCTCCACACCTTCCTAAAAGGGTCCTCCTTCTCTGCCATCTTCCCACACTGTGGACTCTCACTACTGCCTATATGGTGAGACTTGGATCTAGCCCAGGTCCAAATCCCCTTCTCAGTTTCACCTAAATTGCCTACAGACCGTCTCCAGTGGGATGCTCAAACTAATCACGTCAAAGGAGACTGACTACCTTCCTCCAACTGAGTCTGTTTTCTGTCTTCATCTCATCACAGTGAGCATGAGTGCTCATCTGGAAACCTGGAGTCACTCCATGTTGTCACCTTGCCTCCCACACTGACACCGTGTATTCTGTGTCCTTAGACACTGCCTCTAAACATTATTTTAAAAAGTGAAAACAAAGTTCAAAATAATCAAAAAGGAATAAGATCACCCTGTGAGTCTCCAAAACCACAAAAGCCTGGGCTTTGCCTTAATCTCAAACTCAATTTCATGCAAAGATGAGGCATTGAGTGGAGTTTCCTAGGTGAAAGCATCTCTGCCATGGGGTTGGACCACAGAGTTTCTACCTTAGAATCTGGTTCAATGAGCAGTGGTTGGTTCGTGATGCAAATATAAGATTTTTTAAACTTTTTTTTTTTAGTTGATGTCTCATTCTGTCACCCAGGCTGGAGTACAGTGGCCCAATCATGACTCACCACAGCCTCAAACTCCTGGGTTCAGGAGATCCTTCAATATCAGTCTCTCAAGTATCTGTGCCACTATGCTTTGCTAACTTTTGGATTTTTTGTAGAGACAAGGTCTCACTATGTTGTCCAGGCTGGTCTCAAACTCTTGGGCTCTAGAAATCTTCTTGCTTTAGCCTCCCAATGTGCTAGGATTACAAGTGTGAGCTACTATGCCCGGCCCTATGTTCTTATTTTCAAAAAATCTTTATGCTTTTAAAATTATAAGAGCATAAGTTATAACACAGCTAAGCAATACAGAAGTACACTTAAAAAGCGTAATATTTCTCTATCTCTCTTCTGCTATATAAAGCCCATTTTTTATTGTGATAACACATATATAGCATAACATTTTCTACTTTAACCATTTGTAAGTACAATTCAGTGGTATCAAATACTTTCACACTGTCGTACAACCATCACCACCATCTACCTCCAGAACTTTTTCATCTTCCCAAACAGAAACTCTACACCCATTAGGCAATAACTCTCCTTGCCCCTCTCTGGTAACATTTAATCTACTTTTTTGTCTGTGTGAATTTCCCTAGCCTAGGGACCTTATATAAGTGGGATCATACAACATTTGTCCTCTTGTGTCTGTCTTATTTCACTTAGCATAAGCATAATGTCTTCAAGATTCATCCATGCTGTAGAAGATTTTTGAAATTGATTCTTGATTAAGCAATGCCAAACCTATTTTTAAAATAATTAGCAACTGCAGTGTGTTAAGACCTTTGTATTAAAAGTAATACAAGCTGGGCATGGTGGCACACACCTGTAATCCTATCTAGGGAAGTTGACAGGGGAGGATCACTTGAACCCAGGGGCTCAAGGTCAGCCTCAGCAATATAGGGAGATCTTGTCTCTGAAATAAATACCTACATATACACAAATATTAAGTATAAAAAGTAATTTAAAAATCTATTTTTCTAAAACAAATAATGAAAACAACTCTTAATAAGTTATGAATAGAAGAGATATTTACTTGATAGGAGATATTTACCTGAATTCTATAGCAATAATCACTCTTAACAGTAAAATACTACATGCATTCTCATTAAAGTCTGAACATTTAATGGCAGAGTATCCTTTGCATCTTTATTATTCATATTATTCTGGAGGTTCTAAGCAATGCAATGAGACAAGAAAAAATAGAGGGGTATAAATATTAGAAATAAAGAGTAGAGGTTGAAAAACAACTAATGTAAATAAGAAATCAATATATTAAAGTTGATAACTTTCTTCTCATCATCAATAATCAATAACCAATTAGAACATGTAATGGATTCTCAGTAGAAATGAAATAAAGAAAACATATAAGGGTGCCTTAATAAGAAATATGCGGGACGCGGCAAGATGGTGACAGGGCAACCCGGTGTCTGAAGCCCTCTGCAAGGGAGATCTGCAGTGGGTCTCTGACTCTTGCCCTGGGGGGCTGGGGACCCCCAGCATCACAGCCTGCTCTACAGACAGAGCTGTGTTGCTGCCATCGGAATGACTGGACAGTTTTGACTGCATTCCAAACGGTCCCGGCACCGCCGCCGCTGCAGCCGCCGCCGCCCCTCCTCCCACCACCACTGCCACTGCCGTCGCCGGCGCCACCACCGCCGCGTCCTCTGGGAGGGGTAGCATATCGCACCACGTGGCCTGAGGAGATCCACAATGAACCACTTCAGGGAAGATCTGCTGGGATCACTGCCACCTATCCTGCGTCCGAGACTGTCCTGCCCGCCCGGCGTGGGGCTCCTGTTGCCTGCTCGGAGGCAGGCAGCCATCTTGTTCCTGTCTGGCCCCACCCCCTCTGGGGCGAGCAGATGAGATAGCACCACCTGCTGGCTATTCAAGGGAGTAAACCTACAGCCCCACTGCACGGACAGATTCCAGGACAATGGGAAGTGGGTTCCACAATATCCACACGCCTGTCAGCGAATACCAGGACCTGCAGACAGATTTTGAATCACAGCTCTCCCCTTAAATACATTTCAAAACTGCAAAAAGAACCACCTCCAACCT